AATAAGCTGAAATCAACTAATCAAAACCAACCCAGAGCTGGAACAGGTGTCAAAGCCGTGAGGCATGGACATTAAATTCATTTATATAACTATATTCTTATATTGACAACACAGAGAATAGGATGAACATTTTTAAAAAGATGCTCTAAAGGACACCAGAATCAAACCTCAGAGGGAAAAATAACAATCTCTATGTTTTAAAATTGCAATTAGTGGAATGTCATGGATTACGTATAGAAAAATAATAATAAAAAATAAAATGGGCTTTAAAATACATCAATATAAAATGAAGCCTAGAGAACAGTAGAAAGAGAATCTGAAGAGAGCTATGGTACACCTTTAAGCATCTTCATATATGTGTGGCTAGAATTCCTAAAGGATGGCCTAGGGATGGATCAACAGCTCAGAACGCACACTCACTACATGTTAGCCAGTTCACGACCACCTGTAACTCTACCCTCCTTTGGCTTCTGTGGGCACTGCACTGGCACACACACACACACACACACACACACAGAGTCTAAAATTAAAACTAATAGAAGTAAATCTTACAAAAATCACTGGAAGCATCAATAGTTGTGAAGAATCAAGAAATAATGACAAAAAGGGTTTTCTATCTGGTTTAAGATTTTCATCATTTAAGTTAGTAACCAGTTACACCAGAAGGCACATAAAATACGAGGGCTTGAGGGAAACGGCACAGAGGAGAGGATGGTGGCAAGCTAAACTTTCCAAGATCAAGGACTGTGTGACAAGTCCTGGAATGAGCAGGCACTCAGACAGCAAGACTCACTCAGCTTCCTGCTGGATGCTTCAAACACAACACCAGCATCCTTGGAGAGGTGAGTTGAGGAGATACACTATGGTCCAAAAGATTCTCCTGCGTTTTCCACAGAAATTCTGAATTAGCTAAAGTCTCAACAAACATTTAGGAAGATTTAATTTCTTCCTTTTTAAAAATTTTCCTGTGTAACTGTGGCCATATACCATCATACTAAATGTCTTAAAAATGTTGTTCCCATTAGATCCAAATTAGTAAAATTATCAGAATTACAATCCAGAAATAAACATTCCTGTGAATTTTAGAAGATCAAGACTAGTCTCAACAGACAATGAAAGCTCACGTTTGTTTGTTTGTTTTCAAATCTGATTTGTTTTTTATTATTCTCTTTCTTTTTTGGAGATTTTAAGCATTTATTCACAAGTAATGTTTGAAGTTCCATGCCATACTCAGAATTAATTTGTATCTGGGAATAACATTTTTTCTAAAATTGGTTATCATACAAATTTAAGGTACTTTGGCTGAGTCCTTCTTTTGTTAACTTTCGTTGTCCTTGATTGCCAAGTATATTCATTATCTTCCTTCTTTCTCCATTTCTGAGGCAGTTTCATAACAAATGGAAAGCTCATGTTTGTAATTCCAGCATGTAGGAAGCTGAGGCAGGAAGTTCAAGGCCACAAGTTCAAGGCCAGCCTGGGCTACACTGTTTCACAAACATGAAAAAAAACCTACAATAATAAAATAAAAAAAATCACAAAGAAACAAAACACCCTTGAAAGAGTACCAAATAGGTTATCTTGGGGGAAAATATACCTAAATACTTCTTACAGAATCTAAACTAGCCAGAAAAACACAATTTGGTTGCCTTCCAGCCTGAATGGCCTCCTCACAATCTTCCAGCATCTCTTGCAAATTCCTACCTCAGCACCTTACATGGACCATTGTTTCTTTCTGGATTATTTGTTCCATTACTTCATTCAGGCAAGAAGGCTCTCACCTCATTCTTCATTTCAAGAGGAGACATTTCGAATGTTATGTTTCTTATCCACTATTGAATCCCCAAGAGCACACTACTTACTGACCAGGACTCATGCAAGTCTACTGCCCTTGTTAGCCCCTGACATCCCATCACACATCCAGGTGTTACTCTAGAGCAGGCCCATGAGACAAATCAGTAAGACGCAATGAAGATTCTGTGTTGCTTTCAAAGCCAAATATATTCACTGTCTGATCCTTTCAAGTGGAGTGGAGTGTGGATTCTGAGAGGGAGGCTTTTTATATGCTTGGCTCAATATTGTGACATGAATTGGTTCTCTATAGCTTACATGCTCATCTGTAACTTATGTGCTCAAGTCCTAACTCCTCATGGCTCAGAATGCAACTCCACTCGGATATGAAGCTTTTTGCAAAGTAAGATGAAGTAATGAGACTGATCCCTAATCCATTTGTGACCTGTGCTGCTCCTTGAGGAAATCTAGACACACACACAGAAAAGATCGTATGCAGGAATGAGGAGACTGTCATTGCAGGCCACAGAGCAAAGTCTCTGAAGAAATCCATCCTGCACAAATGTAGCATTCAGTTCTAATTTGTTTACTGTTGTTTTAAATGAATTAATTCATTCAAAATTACTGAATAATTATTCAAAAATCGCTTCTTTCCAAAATGGCATGTTCTTCAACTCAATCAACAGTCATCGTTTCAGGAAACCATTTTAGCACAGCAGACAATGGCTACTTCACAGACCAGGTCTGTTTTATAACTTCCTAATTCTCGTTGATGAGCCAGTTCAGAGGAAAATACACTGGTTTCCGTCCCTAACCACCACACTACTCTATACATGAAGTAACTATTCTCAAAACTATTTCATCTTTTCTCATACCCTAGTAAAGACAGAGAAGAAAACTATTGATAAGTGAGGTCCTTTTAAATCCTCTGGATTTTAAATGATTTGAAATGCAGCTAATAACAACTATAGCACACATTATTTCTAAAAATGAAAGAATATAATTTTTTGCAAAATTATACACAACAAGCTTCAATTTTAGGCATCATCTGCTAGTGCCACCATTACCCCTGAGAAACAAACCTCTGAGACTCACCACCAACCACAGAGCCCTGTGTGTAAGCTCTACCCAACATGTGTGTTTTGGTTTACGTGATGCAAAATTGGATGCACTATGAAGCTACCACTACTCCCACACAGAGTTGATGGGTGCCTACAGGAATGCTAATGTGGAGGTAATTTTAGAAGGAAGGTATGGTTAAGCATAAAATAAGGAAGTCTTACTCACTGAAGTCAGCTTGGCTAATAGAAGGAGAAAAAGTCCACTCATCAATGGAGCCACTTTGAAGACACAGAAGAGGAAGCATGGGTCAAGGAAGCTCTTCATCAAGCTCTGGTCCCCTAAGTTCTACAGAAGTGTTGAAGAGGCTGACACTGTGGACATCCATCATAACCCACTTATGTTTACTCGATAGCTAACTTTGCTCCCAAGCCTGATTATTTTCTCACTATCCTCCAGTCAAGCACAGGGCTGAAACCGAATAAGGTTAGCAAAGGGACATCTTCTTTTCCTCCAATGGACGCCAAGAGCCTGGGTCCTCTTTTCCCTGCTTAGCTCTGGGGAACCTCTTCCTTCCTTTGTATTCCTTTTGAACTAGAGCTCAGTGCTAACACCATGATCACTTCCTTACCATTTCCATCAGATACCCTATCACACCAAAGATACTTTCTACTTTCCCTAGAATTTGGAGACTGGAAGCAACTCAAAGATCACCAACTCTGGCCTCTCTCGAGATTATTAAACACAGCTACACAAAATGTACCATGTTTACAACGGGTCTTTATCTCAGCTGGACCCTCAATGCTACCCAACAATCCTGTGTCAATTGTCCTTTCCACTCTGTACAGAATTTAGTATAAAACTTTCTCACCCTATAATAGGACCATGGAGCCCCTCACTCAGCCAGGAACATTCCCTAACAAAAAAAAAGATAGAGAGAAGTCGCCACATTTTCAGTGAGCCTACAAATGTGTCTGCACCCCTCCATCAACTTTTTTTTTCTTCTTCTTCTAGTACATTCCTTTTCAGTCTTCTCAGAGATACAGTTCAATTCATGATTCTCCATCACGGATAAAGTCACCTTCTCTGTCTCTCTGGGCTTCTTCCTGTCATTGTTCTGAAAAAGTATTTCTAACCTGAAAAGTCACTATTCCAGTCTCACCTTTCCCTGTGGCTATCTCATAGTCATCTTTCCCAGAACAGTTATTACTGTGTCATTTCCACTTTCTATGTACATTTATCCCTAACCAGGCTGTGCTATTGGAGCTTTCCAAGCTCCTTGTGTGTGTGACTACCTGGCTACCTTCCAATTAATTGGCTGGACATTTTAATCCGCATCTGACTTGACCCATGGCTGCCTATGGCTCTGGGGAGTACATTTGTCCTCAATGGAATCGCTAACTTTTGTGACATTGACTCTTTCAGTTTGCTTCTGCCATTCTGACCAGTTCTTCACAGTCTCCTCTGAACTCTGACTGTGGTGTTCCTCCAGTTCATATTGGTGTTGCTTTCCTGGGGCTGCCATGACAAGACACCATGACCAAGATGGCTTTGAGAACTGACTCCTTTGCCCCAATCTCAGCCCGGGAGTTGGTGGTGATGGTTGACAACAATTCTAGTTAAAGAATTCTTTGCCTCTGCTCTGTCATCATCATTGGGTGTTCTCTTGCTATGACTGCCTCTTTGTGTCTTTCCCTTCTCATAAGAATGCCAACCATGGAGTTATGGCCCACTTCATTATCAACTTAACATTGTAATTAAATTTTCAAAGATCTAATTTCAAAACAATATCATTTTTCTGAGATGCCAAGTAAAACATGAATTTGGGACAGGAGGAATACTACTTAAGATAGTATATTTTTCTTGTGCTGTAGTCTCTGTGAAACAGTGTCTATTCTTATGGCTTTAATACCTTCTCACCTGCTGAATGACAACTCTGCAGTCCATGTTCCCTCTTGAACTCCAGACCTATGTATTTAACTTACTAAGCATGTTCAATGGGAAGTACCAAAGATACCTTAAACTCATTGTGCTTCAAGATAGATTCACCATTCCTTTCCCCACTCATCTCCTCAGTCCTTCTATATTCAGTTTATGAAACAAACAGAAAAAATAATTACAGTCATCCATTTGATTTACAGAATTAAGCTTACCTATTATTGAATTTCAAATACAGTGGATTTCTATATTGAAAAGTACACCATCCCTTTGAAAGGCCGCCAGGAGCGGAGCCGCGGGCAGCGCAGGCCGGGCCGCATCTCCGTCTCCGCGCCAGCCGCCCGCGCCCGCCATGCGCGCCCCGCAGCGGCCCGCGCGCCCGGGCCCCGCGTCGTAGCGCGGCGGGCGGAGACCGCAGGCTCCCAGCCCGGGCCCGCCGTGTCCTCGAGCCCGATTGGCGCCGCTGCCCGGCGCCAGCGCCCGGTGCCGCCGCCGTCGAGGGTGGTGCGGGCCGCGACCCGGGCGCCAGGGGCCCTGCGGGATGGAGCAGGCCGAGAGCCGGGGACCCTGCGTGGTGGAGCAGGCCAAGGGCCGGGGACCCTCCGGGCGGTGCAAACTGGGGCCCGGGTACCCCCGGGGTGGCGCAGCTTGGGGACTCGGGGACCCTGTGGGGGTGGCGCGGCCTGAGGACTGGGGAGCCCTGCAGGGAGGTGCAGGCCGGGACCCCGGGACTCTTCTGGGGTGGTGCTGAGGGGCCCCAGCATGCTTGCTTGGCCTGACGCCATTTTGAGCAGGGCCTGAGGAGTACGGGGAGGGTTCAGTTGGAAGACATGGGCGCAGGAACGAGCGGGGTGTCTGCGGTCGGCCACCTGGCCCCAGAACAGGGAACTAAAGGTCAGAAAAACAACTTGTACCCTGGATAAGAGCCAAGTCAGCAGGCGTGTCGAGCTCGGGGAAAAACCACGGGCTGTCCTGAGTTTGAACCTGGCCTCATACGAATCGTCCAATCAGAACCCTGTAAACTATACTTCCTGCTTCTGTACCCGCCCTTCTGCTGCCCAACCCTATAAAAACCCTCCACTCCAGCCTGTCGGCGCGCCAGTCTCTTCAGCCTCTGGAGAGATTGTATCGCCCCGGGTACCCGTGTTCTTGAATAAAGCCTCTTGCTGTTTGCATCTGACTTGTGGTCTCTCCAGAGGGAAGACTCCAAACGGGGGTCTTTCACCTTTACTAAAAACCTTACACAGGGCCCTCACTGCTTTTAGGGGATGTTCAGTCCCCTGAACATATGTTACATGTTCCTTCAGGGTCCTGTAGGTGCCTCCCTACCCTTAGTTCTATGCTGTTTCAGTCATACTGAACTCTGTCAAACACTTCTTCAAAAGCGCCGCACTTGCTCTCTCTTCTTGGCCTGTACCCCTTTCCACCTTCCTGGCAGATCCTTCATTTTTTTCTTTACCTGACATCTCTCACTCATTCTCCCTGCTTCAGTAGGAATTATTTATTCTCCAGTCCTTCATGTAAACCAGAGCCTGAACTGATACTCTGTCCAGTGTGCTGTGCTCTCCTGTGATCATTCATTCAACTCGTTAGCCATTTGGGCTGGACTGGACAATAAAATCCTTCACCATGCAAATCACAACAGACCCTCAGCCCTCACCCTGAACAAATAAAGGGTACTCACTAAACATCTGTTCTATGAATAACTGCATGTATATCAAATATAAGATTCTCAGGAAAATGAACTCAGTTCAAACCTCAGATAAATTTCCTTCAAACTAAGTTGTATAAATTCCCCCATGGATCACTGAATAAACTCAAATATATAAAATAAAATATCCAGTACCTTTTAGCTCTAACAATACTTAAGGGTCCCTGCTGTTTAAACTGGGATGTTAAAATAAAAATAAGTGATTATAAAAGAAAGAAAATTATAATTAAATAACAAAACTTACATCGACACAAAAGAATCATAAATGTACATTAGAAATGGTTAACCTGATTCAAAGGCAAGAAGTAGACACTACCCATGGAGAAACATCATAACTCGGTACTTCCCATACCACAGAATGCTTATTCTGACCTTCCTAACTAAGAAATTCATCCTCCAAACTCAACCCAAGTAGATCATCCATTTAGTATAACTAGGGAAAACTAGATAGAGATGTTGACAACCACCATCAACTAGTTGAAGATCTGCCCTCCCGAAGAACAAAAGCATGTGTCCTTACCGAGTGCAGAACAGGGACCAAAGATTGAAACTCTCAAGAAATTGAACTTTTACTTGAAAATGAACAACAAAATGTAGTGTTATATTTAATGTAGCTTCTACACCATGAAAAGAAAAAAATGAAGGATCTGCCAGGAAGGTGGAAAGGGGTACAGGCCAAGAAGAGAGAGCATATAGGTTAATACTCTCCAGTCCAAATAAGCTCAGACTAAGGACAATTGAGAAAGGGAAGCTTCCGAACTGTGCTTCATTAATATTTCAGTTGACTTACAGATGCAGCAACCTAGGTCCCTCTACTTTGCCTACTGCTACATAGGCAAAGCAGTAATAGTAATTATTGTTGGTTCAGCACCTATAAGGTACCAGCTACTGTGATATCCGTCAACACAAATACCTCTTAAGCCTTGCCACAGTTCTGTGGAATCAGTGCTGTTATTCCCATTTTCACAAATGAGCTCAGGTTGATAGAGAAAAGCCATTTCCCCAATATTACATGCTTCAGTGAAAAAAAGGCAGGGCAGAAATTAAAGATAAGTCTCACTTCTGACTCTTGATTTGTGCCACCACCCCTCTTATGTCCACACCTCTCAATGATAAAATCCCTCTCAAGTCTGTTTTTAATCTTCAACCCATTGCTTCAGATGCATAGAAGTTAATAGTGAATGTCCCAGAGAAATAACTTGAAATCTAAAGCTGACAAGTGAATGGCATGTCTTCAGCAAATATAAAGTAAGCATTATAAACCTCATACCTCTGTAATGATTTAAATACACTGATAATATATAGCATATTTAGCATATTTCATTCATCTTTGTTATCTTTGTGGCCTCTATTCTTCAGTGTACTTTTGCTCAGAAAAAAAAAACCCAGTTCATTTCAGATTGCTGTAATTCAAAAAGATTATAATTTGGAGACTAGATTAAATTTGAATTTGCAATCTACTTTCAGCTATTAGGGATAATTATTTAATCCCCTCTGGAATCTACTACAGAAGTTAGTGGTACCCTGAGTTACAAAAAGAAATGGTGTTTCCTGGGAATTATTTTATACTCTGTAGGTTAATACTCTCCAGTCCAAATAAGCTCAGACTAAGGACAATTGAGAAAGGGAAGCTTCTGTACTGTGCTTCATTAATATTTCAGTTGACTTACAGATGCAGCAACCTAGGTCCCTCTATAGTTAACATCTTTTTAGTCTGTATTCCAACAGGCTGATTTTGCCAATGAAAGACAGTGTCATTTTCTCATCCATATTCACTATAATCCAAGCCTCTCTTCCATCCATCCTCTGCATTCTTCCCCAGTCAGGCTTCTCACTCCCCACCAACTCCATGATAACCATCTTATGAACTCGTCTCAGGCTCTGATATTCCCCTGTCTGATTCACCTTTTAAATAACAGCTCTGAACATTTCACCTCCTTCCTTGAAGAAATAAAACGTTGGTGGATTTGAAATAACCATAAAATGCTATTTAAAACCATATGAGGTGACAGTCACCTGTAAGCCCAGCACTTGGGAAGCAGAGGTAACAGGATAAAGGGTCCAGGGTCATCCTAGCCTAGACTGAACATAACTTCAGGCCAGTCTGGGATACATGAGACCCTGTCTCAAAAAAATTAGACACACACACACACACACACACACACACACACACACACACACACACACGTTCATGCATATACATACAGAGAAGTATCTAAACTTTTAGACAAAGAAATAAGTCCTAATGTTGACTCCACATTTAACCTTTATTGTTTTAATTTCTGGCAGGATAAAGACTAAATACTCTGAATGAGCTTCCTAGGCAAAATACAGCCTACTTGCTTACTAAAGCATAAAAGTAATGTTTTGAAAACAATTGCTGGTCTATCATAAAAGGCTGTATCAGAACCAAAGCAGAAGTAAGAGAGAGAAAGAGAGAGAGAGAGAGAGAGAGAGAGAGAGAGAGAGAGAGAGAGAGAGAGACAGAGAGAGAGAGAGACAGAGAGACAGAGACAGAGACAGAGAGAGAGAGGCAGAGAGAGAGAGAGAGAGAGAGAGAGAGAGAGAGAGAGAGAGAGAGAGAGAGAGTGTCATGGTGGGTAGAGAGTAACCATGCATCCCAGAGCACTCTCCTGACCCTGATGCTCTTATGCTCCTTTTTAGTAGCCATACCAAAGTGAAAAGCAGTAGATACATAACACAATGCTCACCCAGAGGTAAAGGGGAGTTCCCACATGGAGAATTCATAAGGGTGCACACTCAAAGTTAACAAGGAATAAGCCTCTCACACACAAAGAGAAAGGGAGGAATCTTGTCTATAGTACAGTGACCTTGGCGTGGATGGAGATCACAAGGGCTTTGAGAAGCACGGGGATAACGGTTCTTCTCTGAGTATCCTGGATGTGAATTCCAAATGCATGTACTGCTGATAAGTCAATGCTGCTACCAAGAGATAACTTTCACGAGTAGAAGCAAGTCAAAGAAGCTCCCTCAGTGTAAGCCTTAAGGACACCCATAGTTATAAATCCAAAGAGAATGAGCTCATAACGAGAAACCTGAAAGCACATAATGCATCGCTGTGACCAGGAGCAAGCAAAAAGGATGGGGAACAGAGTCTACTATGAAAAGATTCCAGGTACCATCATCACAGACATTATAAACATGTTCAATAGAGACTCAGAATTTCTAAAGTTTGAAAAGAGAGTAAGGATTATGAAAGTATAGAAAAGAACAAAAAGACTTGGCCTAGAAAGAGTGCTTCCATAAGTGAGAACATAAACTATACATCACCCTTCTAACCTCTTTCCTCTGCTACATCTCTCCATTCCTCCAAATATTCTCGAAGTTTTCTCTGAACTCTCCTCTATCTGTTCTGCTCCAATTTCCTCCATGTCTTCAACTCCGTTCCTCTTTCTTTGTATTTGAATCCACAGCTATTGAGCCTTAATTCACTTCTTTATTTATTCATTTGCTTGTTTTTTATTGGTGCCTGGGGTGGAACCCAGATGTCCCACAGACTAAGCACATATTCTACAGCTGGGCTATATACCCCCAGCTTAAGAGTCATTTCAAATGCCTCCTGTTCAATTTATCCACTATACCCATTATCCTATGATTCGCAACAAGATGCATTGCCAGAAAAACTCACAACAAAA